ATTTTTCTAAATTATTAAATAACAAATTATTAATCATATTTTATTATGTACTAGGCTTTAGATAATGTCCTGGAAAAAGCAACAATTATGGATAAAAAACGAATTTCACGTTATCTTCTTTATCTTGTAAACACTGCTAATATAGAAGGACTTGCTTCAAAGTTATTCAACAATCCTTCCTATGCATCATTATTCGATGAAGCAGAACTCGCAGTCCTTGAGCAAGCAACTGTTTCTGATGAGGTAGAAATACCAGACTTGTTACTACATAATGACTGGGGCATTCCATCTGTATCATTTATACGTAAGCATAAACTATTACGAGAAAAATAAAAGAAAGTATCATTAAATATATTAAAATTTTAGTATATATGGACTACAATTTTTTTGTTAAAATTTATAGAAAAAGCAAGAATCGAAGTGTTTGAATTGGAACAAAAGTTGATAGAATCATACGATCCTCATATAATTCGTGAAACATTGATCCAGCTTGATGGGAAACATCGAATGAAACCGTTATATCATGTAAATGGCTGTTGGGAATTACCCATTCCATTGCAGAGTGTGGTAATGACGCTTCCTAGGGGATTTCTCCAGGATTATTCATATGTTCTACTCGCGAAGAGTCGAGAGTTGGTAACTTCCAAAAACTTTGACGGCGCCATAGAGCTTCTCAAGGTATTGGATAAAGAACTGCAGGAACACGTAAAAAGCGGAGGCTCATTGATCTTTAAGCTGTGCAAATTAGTGAGTTGGGAATGCCTGCTTGTTGAGATATGGAAGTGTTTTCAAGTTTGGCCGACGACAAGCGTCTGTACGTACACGGAGAATTAAGAATTATAAAAAGTACGACGAATTTGTAATAATTCAATATTTTTTAGGTGATGTGCAAAGTATGATTGTACGGAGTAAACAATGTCTTGGTGCATTACAAGCATCTGATCAGCTAATTCCGCGACAAGAAATAATAGAATACTGTACGGTTTTCCTTCTAAATATAGCTGAGTGGGAATATCTTACTAGTTTGGAGAAGCGTTGGAATTACACTGAATTTGCAGCTGCCATTAGTAGCGTTTGCCAAGACATTGTTAAATATAAAGGAACCCGCAAATTTCCGCGAGACGCATGGGATATGAGTGAGTATTTTTATTAAAGACATACACACAGAATATTTTTTTTTTTAAATATTTATATTTTAAAATTTTTATTATTTATGTATTAAGTTGGTAATGTTAGATAAAGGAAATAATTTTCCTTCGTATACAGTAAACAGTCCATTTGTTTTATGCTAAAAAATAAGAAAATACATGATAAAATAAATTCTAACGAATAAAATCATATGTTCTTTTAGTCTTAGCAGCATTTGGTCCCACTAGAGATCAGTCACAGAAACGCAGCAGTAGTGGCAGTAACAGTGGAAGTTCTAGTTCGTCAAGAGATGTTGCTGCTAGTATTGCCCTTACACTTACTCGATTACGAGAACCTATGGTTCTCACTGTAGTAATATCATTATTAGCTCGTTTGCGCAATATTTTGCGAGACGAATCGAGTCTAGAGTTACACACGCAGTATTTGTCTCTTTGGCCTGCCGGAGTACCAAAGTGAGTTTATTACAATATATTAAGTATTTATTGTAATAGTTTTTTTAAAAACTTGTATAATACATATTACATATAGTAACAATTAAAAATTTTAATATTTAATATTACTAATATATTTTGAATATTAGTAGTATATTCAATATCTTAAGTCATACCTATACAGAAATTAATATTTACAGTGCAAATTCGTATAACATCAGACATATTGGAGAATTATTATTCCAATTGTTGACGCAAGCTCTAAAATATTATCCTTGCAATGTGCCTTGGTTGAGGCTGATGGGTGATCTTAATTTTGGTATGTTTTGTTTCATCAAATACAAATCAATACAGTAATATAAATATTATAATAATACACATATTTGTATTTTATTTATATATTATATTGCATAATATATATAATACTGTTAATAATTTACTCTTTTTTTTAGTTCTAAACTATTATGAAAGTGCAATGAGATATTATTTGGAGGCAATCATGATAGCCAGCGATTTATTTAGTCAACCTATCCCACGCACACAGATAGACGATCTTGTTTATAGAAGAATGATCAAATGTTGCGCTCATTTACAATGTTACACTCAGGCGGCTGTGTTGTGCCAA